GACATCCTTGAAAAAATTGTTGGTGAAAAGTTTTCTGGAGGAACTAGTGGGCGCCATAGTATTTCGACAGCTAATAAAGCGGCCCCTATATACAAGTAGGACATATTTGAGTTAAAAATAATGAGGTTCTTGCAAAACTGGCAAAACCATTTTGGAATCCAAAATCATTCCAATGTTAGCCTGTTGAGTGTTTAAAAGGCATATGGTTGAATCAAAACAGACTTCAATTTTAACCCTTCATTGAATACTTCAAAAATATATACTTCAATCATAATGGATTATTTCGATTTTAACTCTATCTCCTGATAGTGTTTGTATAAAATTGCGTTGGATCTTTCCTGCAACATAATCTAAAGGTAGAATCAGATCTTCTTGATCTAAAAGCACCCGAAAGTAAACTCTAGACGTTCACTAATGGGAGTTGTTAAAAGATAAAGTCCAGGTTTATGAAGAATAATCATCTACCATTAATCAATTAAGCTTAACTCTTCGAAAGCAAGATGTCAAAAATATTTGTTAGGTAAACATTATATAGCAAATGGCCCTTAATACTGGAAAGCACGAGTGAAGTTGCTCTTGTCCTCTTCTATTGTTATTAATGACCTTTTTTTAGGATTTCTTCTTCTATTATTTTACTTCCTTTTGCCAAATATCAGTTTTCTTTATGTCTACAAACTACAAAGGGTGCCACATTCCCTAAGCTTTAAAAGATTCCCCACCTATTTCTTCGACTGTTGCTTCCACATTATCAAAAGCTCAACCTAGCAGTGGAATATTGTTCAGCAGTCATTGATACAGAAAACGCAAAAAAAAAATATCAGATTTGGTGGACTGTTACTATAGGAATACTGTCAATCGTACGTTTATAGAAATTTACTAGATTTCAAGCCACTTTTTCAATTATATCTTTGGTTTCACATTATGCTTCAAGATGCGACCTCATAAAGTATCTTATTAGCCTTCTTTTCCTGCTTGAGATTATACGTATAATGGTACATGCAAAAGTCCTTGAAAGTTTCTTGAACAATAGATGATTCTATGTGGATCCAGATTTTATCTACATCAACTTTTCTACAAAGACATAATAAAATTTTTTAGTTCAAGAGGAGACTTTAAAGCTTGTAAACATAAATGGAAGAGAGAAAGGTTCAAGAATCGAGTCAAGAATTTCAAAGGTCACCTATTAATGTTCATACCAGCTAAACTGGATTTTGGAGACATATAAAAATTTCATTAGACTACGACTTTAATCCAATCTGAGATGAAAATCGATGTCTGACTACCTTTCACAGGCACTCTATACCTATCACTTTTACTTTTATGTTTTATTCCAAGAATAAACACGTTGAAATTGATTATGATTATTAGTTCACAGCTTTTACGGGCTTTGCCAATCAGCCGCAGGCATTAGTACCTTCCTTCATGATATATTTCAGGCACACAAATTATTTTGCGTACAATATATCTCTCAGAAGCTAAACGTATCTGATAGCCATTTGAGTAGGGTTCGGGAGGGAAAGAATCTGAATAATTACGACAGCCATTTGAGTGGGGGCTGAGGTGTTTTGAGGAGCCGGGGGGGGGGGGGGGGAGGGGGAGGAGGAGGAGGAGGAGGAGGGTGTTTAATACTCTGAAGTCTGAAGATCCTCAAAAGACTGTCAAGCTTAGGGTTCTTCATACTCCCTTTATGGGTTTCACCAAAAATCATTAATATAATATAGATGGGAACCCTATAAAGTTGTAAACCCTAGATCTGTCAATAAGAGAAGCATTGTGCATCATTAGATTACTCTTTTGACTCCACCTTTTAGAACAAGGTAGATAGTAATAAATAATAATGCTAAAATATCCTTCATCAAGAAGACAAAATCAACAAATGAGATCTATGACTATATATGAGAATCTTTCTTTTAAATAAGGGCAACGTGAATGTACCATTTTGTCAATTTTCAGGCCACGCCTTTGCTAGGGTACTATCGAAGAAACTTACTCGAAAATGCTTCAGTAAAGAAAAAAGGTTTTAGTCCATTACTTGGAAAACATGGGAAGGCAATCATCAGGGCTTAAACGTCACCTCTCAACTACTTATATTTGGTTCTTGATATTGTTCCTTTTACCCATTTACTCTTTAAAAGCAATGATCTATGGTTCTTGATATTGTTCCTTTTACCCATTTACTCTTTAAAGGCAATGATCTATGGCAAGCGTGGGGTTGGATCGAAGCATAAAGTGACTCTGCAAATCAATGTCAAAGGCTCCAATGAAACCCTTTCATTGTCTCTCTTATTTCCTTTTCAAGGTGTTTAAAGCACGATAAATCAGCATCAAGTTGAGGATCTTGAGCATGTTCATAGCTTTTGATTTGGGATTTGGTCTCCAATTTCAATGTACATGAAGCCAAAACTCGAAATGTTCGAGATTGATTGAGAATGAATCAACCTCTGTAACAACAATAAATAATCTCTTTTCATATCAAATTGCAGTCAATCAGCACACAGTAAATTCACGTATTAACATGTTGTGTTCATTATGAAACTAGCAAATAGGGCAATTATCTATCTCGTTTTACTCAGTTTAGCTCCTTGAATCGTGGATTCTTGCACAATTTGGAGGTGAAATACGTTTTTATGTTTTACTTAATTTCTCTGGTAATCCACATAGATAATGCTTCACTCCTATCGAACAGGGCAAATTAAAGCACTAGAAGTGTTTTCTTCGTAAGCAATATGGTTTAGGTATTCGATATTCTTTACAAACTTTTAGCTATTCCATCTTAAAAAACGAAAGGAATACAAGTTATTGAACTCATCACAAGAATCAAGAAGTTGGTCTTAATTATTCAAACAATATAAAGAGAAGAGAGAGGGAGAGAAGGCAAATAAATATACTTTTTCTTTTGCCAAAAAGAGGAAGTATTGGACTAATGTGATGGATGGAGCAACAAACAAATCAATTAAGGGAGTATAAAGGCAAAAGAGGGAAGATTAAGGACCACCTAAACAGCCTCCAGCATTACGCACACACTATAAATAGCATAGTGACAACCTTAAAATTCACCCATATTGCTGGAGACGATGTTGGAATATAATTGATGTGATTGCTGATTATTCAACACTAGGTGTTGCATGGAAATGAGAGAATTAGTGGTTGAGGTTTATTTGAGGAAGACCTAACAAAGAGATTCATAGGAACAACAATTTAAAACGTAGACAAATTATTCCAGATCTATACTATGCTATTATGAACTAAAGTAAGAACCTCGAGTGGTGACGGTTCACAAAATTACTAATTGTTATTATTCGAAGGAGACGAGTGATTCGAGAACCTGATGGGAAATGCATAATAAATACAAATAATTAAGTTTAAGTATAGCCAAAAGGGGGCATAAGTCTCTCATTAAACAACCAGTATACAAAAAAAAACCCTATTAGAACTTGACTAAAACCTAACAACTAAAGGTTAAATATCATGCCTTTGACGTCATATATTGAGCTGTTGATCTTTGGTCGATCCCATCCACAACATGCAGACGTGCAAAGTTGTTGTCCATTCATTTTAAGACGTAAGAATAATATAATAAGCAACAGTTCAGGGCATATTGGAAGCATTAAGCCATGGTTTACTGAGATAAATTAACAAAGGAGTTGAGGGTGGAGGGGAAGAGGGGACCATATATAAATCGTGTGATTCCATTGAAAAATAAGCGATCAACAGGGTTTCAGATTTCAAAGTTTTCAAAAGTCACATTTGCTCTTCTTAAAACCCGGCTTGTGACCCTGCTAGATCACTTTTAACAACACAAATACCTAAAATTGACCACAAAGAAACAATGGCATGGACTTTTATTTCTCTATTTTGTCGAGTCCCCTTCAACTTGTAGCTTCTTAATTGGCTCTCCAGCCAGTCTAACCAAATAATGTAGCCCAACTGTGGCATATAAGTCATGCCTCATTGGCAGGAAGGAAAAGCCAAGAACATTTTGTTTTGATCAAGTCTGAAGTCAGAAAAGCCAAGAAATTCAGGCAAGGAAGAAAAATTTTGTGAAAGTACATAAATTGTTTTGAGTTGCCTAGGAGAGAGAATTTGTCGATGGTGAAAATTTTTATGACCATAAGGAAGATTATGAAAGATATAATTTATTAGTTGAAAGTTATTTGGATTGTTATTCAAGGAAATATGGTGGCTGTAATTGTGAATGGATCAATATGGATGCTTTTTTTTTTTTTTTTTAACAAGGAGAACTAGCAGCAAAATTGTATACAGATAATCCACTTTCACACATAAATATGCAGATGAGTATCAGTTGCAAATTGGGGTTGTACTTGAGTTACACTCCTGCAGAGGTTGCAAAGGTGATTGAATCTTGTGATAGCATTGGAGATGACAGCATAAGAGACTAGTTTAAGAGAAACATTATATTGTTGACATATTTTAAACCAAACATATTTGGACTTTTAATAGTTTCAAAAATTGATTTGCTATTTGGTAACTATATTAGATTCGGTATCACAGTAGGTTTAGGAAATATAATTGAGTCATGTTTTGGTATTATAATTCGAATAAGATTTGCGGTTATGTTTCTCAATTTAAGAACTTTGAATTCTAAGTTTGTACTTGAGGGAAATTAATTAATTTAAATACAATATTTTGTTTCCTCCCATGCCTTTCTTATTATTTATTATTTGTAAGATTTTAATGTTACTTCCGCTGCATAGTTTTTGTGCTAACAATATTTAACAAGTGCACCTAAATTATGCAATCGCATATTGAGATTCTAGCGTTACCAAATAAAAAAGAGACAAGTTGATCTAATTAACATTGTTACAAACTTGTGAAGTTCAATTGGGAATATGAACTATTACATGGAATCATGAATTATACGTCAATTTGCATTTTAGCGAATGGCATAAATTTTACACTCTTGATGCCCTAACCCACCAACTACTGCCACCCATGCAAGCTTGTTTCATATCATACATGCACACGGGGTTCAGGTTCACATGACATGTGCACATTCTTTGCACACATATGCATCTGTTCAGAAGTATATATATTTGTATGTGCTGATGATTGATGAAGGAGCAACGTGTCAGCATTCAGAAGCTAAAGTTATCCATTTGACCTCTGAAATGGTTGATGAGCAGGATAGGTTACTGCCAATTGCCAATGTGGGAAGGGTCATGAGGCAGATCCTTCCACCAAGTGCCAAAATCTCGAAAGAAGCTAAGGAAACGATACAAGAATGTGCAACAGAGTTTATAAGCTTCGTCACAGCTGAAGCGTCTGACAAGTGTTACAAGGAGAACAGAAAAACTGTAAATGGAGATGACATCTGTTGGGCTCTGAGCACATTAGGGTTTGATACCTATGCAGAGGCCATGCTGAGGTACTTACATAAGTATAGAGAATTTGAGAGGCAAAGGGTCAACCAAAGTAAAGCCTCAAATCTTGAAAATGAAGCACATACCCCAATTAGAGCCAGTACTGATAGTACTGATAGTGATGGAAGCAACCTGCAACCTGAAAAGCAATCTGAATCTCCCATTGCATTTGAGTTTAGAGTTCTTGAGAAGGGTCAGAGCTCTAAAATTAAGCCAGCAGCTACAGGATAATTATGATGTACTAGTCTCTTCTTCTTTGAGATGACGAAGTCTTGAAGGAGAGATAAATTACCTAATGTACTTTCTGCTAAAAGTATCAACTTTCCTGTGTTTAAGGGTTGGCCTGAATGCACTAACACACGAATGATTAGGAGGAAGCAGTCCTTCAAGGTAACTTTATTTTAGCAATTATACTCCTTTTTCGCTTCTTGCTTATGGAGGCAAACAAGTCTGTAACATTAGATTAACACAATGAAGTACAGTTGTGGCTTCACAATTTTGAGATAATCAAATTTCACATGTACTACTTCCGCTAATAATCACAGTCAGCTGCTTTTAGTTACTGCAAATTTCTTGCATCTGCTCTAATTATATTAACCTTCATGAGAACGGATCCCTTCTTTAGGCATTCGATTTTGCGAGTTATCAATTGTTTAGAGAAACGTTGCTTCCAACTGACGATTGTAAAGATGAACCAAGGTTAGGTATGTATGCTATCTGAAACAAATATTAGACATTCTGTCCTTAAGCATTCAAAATCCATGCCATGACAGTTTTATATTGATTCCCGGCTATTGATGAGATGAAATCCCCCTTCTGATTTACAACTGTTCTTCAACAATTTGCAACCTTTCCTCACTGACCGCTACCAAATTATGTTATTTGAAAATCACCCGTCCTTATCGAGCTTCCGTCTAACTAATATAGGCTGCAACCTTCTTTTTCTCAGATTTTAAGAATTGAGCTGGAAATCAGTGTCAAAGGCTCGAATGGAACCCCTTTCGTTCTCTGCTATTTTGTTTTCAAGGTGTTGAAAGCATGATTAATCCGCCTGATTTGGCAAATCTTGGCCAAAATAAATTGACCTTCATGCTGATAATTGAACATGACAACACTGAAAATCATACTATATGTCTTGAACTTCAGAAATCCTCATGATGGATGCCAAACAAAGCCTTGCATATATCAAAATTGCAGTATAATTTAATCACGAGTTCTTTTGTATCTCCTTCAGGTTATGTACAAGTCTCCTTCTCCAGAAAGATGCACATTAAACCCCTTCCCCAGGAGTATTAGCTGCATTCATTAGGAATATGATGATAAGACAGATTAAAAACCAGTACATATATTTTAGATTTTTTAGGATTGTAAGCATCTATTTCTTGTCCCATTCTACATTATTAGTCAAAGGTGAACCACGTTTTCACTTTGGCACAAAATAGGACCGATTTTTATAACCCTTTATTCCCTTGAAACCAGTAGTATAATCTTTCATTTGGTGTGGCTACACATGAAATGAAATGATGTGAAACATTAACTATAAAGCATGTGCTACAGTGCTAATATTGTGCTACACACTCGAGGATTATGCAATCTTTCCCATAGAAAAGAACTAAAAAGCTGAGCTTATCAGAACTTTTGGTCAGAGTTAGGGTTTGAGCATGCATCCTAGGGTTTCTCCATTCTCTTTTGGACCACTTCTCCAATATCCTCCTTGAGTAGAATTGCAAGGAAAAGGGACAAGTTCATATTTTATTAGTGATCTCGTCCCCCCCGCCCCCTCAAGTCCCAAACAGCTGGATAAGTTACTACTTCGACGAAAGAAAGAGAAAGCAAAAAGTTGGATAGGAAGAACAAATGCTAAGGAGGCTACTTGAAGTAAAGCAAGGTATTAAAAATGAAAAATGATACTGATGCACCAACTGGACATTTTTAACTCCATATTTGTACCAATGGAAGCGTAAATGGTTTTTTTTTTTTTTAGCATAAATGGTTATTCGAGTGATGCACCTAGTGACATATATATGGCAAGTATGGCCTAGTGACAGTAAGAATTGGTGAGCAGAGAGAGCTTTGACACTTTTAGGAGAAAACCAGTAAAAACTTGTCACCTGGAGTTGAACCAACTAGAAAACTAGATCAATCTAAGAAACATGAATATATATGACCTTCATGCCTACCTCAGTATAAGATATTGAGATATGGTCATGATGGTACCATTAATCTGAGACATATCTCGATAGAGTGGTCTATTATACATTCCTTGTATGTACAGTAGGTTTTAATTAAAGTTTTAATGCCAATGTTTTGCCTTTTTTAAGATGTTAGAAGACAATATGGACAATCTAAAAAGGGAAAGAAATACCAATTCACTTAGTAAAATTTGAGAATGCTGTAGATCGCCTTTTACCTCTTTATTTAGCAGCTAATGGTTTCAATGTGTTTGTTGTCACCAATTCACTTAGATATAAGCTACTGTCACCTTAGTATTGAAGGCAGCACGAGTTCAACCTCAGAAATTAATCTGTGTATCATTTAGACATTAGTCACTTTTGGAGTTATTTTCTCCATATATGTGAATAAAATCGATGAACTTACGTCCTAATCATCCGCTTCGAATATCTATCCAAGACTGTCAAGCTATCTGCTTAATCAACACAAACTATATATCAAAATTTCTAGGCCAAACTTGTAAGCTGCCTCCTAATTATTTCCGCTTTTAGATCAACCTGCTCATCTCAAACTTAAACTTGAAGTGTCATATCTTGACATTGATTGTTTAAGAGTATCAGTCATGTTTCCATACTTGTCTAAGTACACAAAAAGAAGTAGAAATTGAAGCACAGTACCATGAAGCCATATAAATGATTATTGCATAACACTCACGGCAACCATAGAAGGAAATTGACGCTAGCAGAATATTTATCCTTTGCAAGAAAAAGAAACGGAGAGGTAAAATTGAAGGCAAAATGCATCTATCAAAAATGCAAGATTGTTGACAACTCCGCAAAAATTTCATATGGTTAAGCGATACAGCATTGATGAATTCATCTAATTCTTAGATTGCCAGGTCCAACTTGTTTTTTCTGAAAATGGGAATGTTGAACAGTTCCTGATTTAATTGTTTTAGTAATAGATTTTAAAGTTGATGTTTAGGACGTGGATTTAAATGTTTCAGTGATTTTCAGCTCTTACAATTGGAAAGTTGTGTATCTATGGGAATTTGGATTTCTTCCTGCAGGTAAAAAAAACATTTTGTTAACTATCCATAAGATGAAATTTGGGTGAATCATTCCAAAAACCTAAGTTAACTGGTAGAAATATTATCCAACTCCTAATCTCTCCCGTTTCCTCTACGAAGAGAGAGAGGGGGAGAGAGAGAGATAGAGAAGAGAAGAGACGTAGCAATGTGATAGTTTATTAAACAAAAGAGATTATTTATATTATTTTTTCCTTTTGAAATCCGAGTTAATTTTTACATAGGAATTATTAATGCAGTAATTTGGTGAATAAGTAAGATTATTAATGTGGTAAATTGATGAATGAGAGACATTTATAAATTGATTGACAACCTCCAATCACACGAACTATCCCACAAGATCGGTGTCCATGGCTAACCCAACTTACAGCAAGAGCAATTCTCTTGGCAAGAGTACCTCTCATGCTATTAAGACCTTTATTCCTTGACTTATTACGCCTTGAGCAAGCCTCAGAGTTAATTCGATATGCTTTTACTTCATCCGCTTCGGATATTTGCCTTGTGACAAGCGTCAAGGAATGTCACAGTAAGAGTGAAATCACTAGAAAGCACTTCACCATTGGTAGTACTATCAATCTCAAGAGAGATGTTAAGCATTGACAACTGCAGATTTTGGGCTTCTTTTGCTTATCAACAATTTTCGATTCAGGCCACAAAAAAAACATGAGTAGAAAAATTGTAGTTGGGATTGGATCAAGTGCGATTAATCACCACAAAAACGTGTAAGCTGTTGGACATCATACAAAATGTACAATAAGCAAGTCATTTGATAGAGTCACTTATTTGAGCCCTACCTTTTAAATCCATGGATTCTTGTTCTTTTAGTGAGCACGCAAAAGGGGTTTTTAGATACACTTTCTGAAGCTTTGTACCAGAATGAAGAGTCCCCAAATGTGAACAGAACAGGCATTAAACCAGACTATGTAAAGCTAGATGGACAATGAAGATGTTTTGATAGTTGCCAACTTAATGCGAGCATGGTGGGAGGAGCAGGGTGAGGTGGAAGGGAGGCAGGAGGGGAAAGTGATAGATGTCAGCAAATGCAGCACAAGCAATTTGTGGGAAGAGGAGGACAAAGAGGAGAACAGAGAAAGTAACAGAGGACACTGAAATGCTCTTGAAGGAGGCGAAAATAGTTGCTGTCTGGAGTGAATGGTAGGTTGGAGGACCAGAAAAACAGAATATCAATGTTAAAGACTCAGATCCAACAAAAGATTCAGATGCTTTGAAAGTTCAAAACCAGGGATTATTCTTAATTTACTGGATGCAGTGGAAATTTTTCATGTAGCTCATGAAAGAGAGGTAACTTCGCTTTTTCAAATAACTAGCTGAAATTATCATTAAGTGATGCAGCATCCCACAAATTAATATAGAGAATTATATTTGACCTCATTGTGCAATTATCCAGAAGCACATCTACTGACAGAATGTATTGAAAGAGTAGAGAAGATGTGGACAAGGAAGAAAAAAAAATGGTGCACATAAAATTGGAGCTTAGAAGGTTTCAAGATTGCGGATATTTTTTAAGGAAATAAAACATCTTCCTAAATGAGGTCAGAAAGTCAACCCAAGTAGCAATCAAGAAGTGCACAGATAACATGTTGGAGCAGGAAAAAGAGCCCAAGAAAGAAAAAAACCTTACATAGATTAATCAATATATTCGATGTACAAATGCTTCTACAAAACCCCATCCATCCTCAATGTCTGGTCCAACCCAAAAACCAGATATTATGACATGAGCACTTGAGCTTACATTAAAATAATGGGAGATGGGATCACAAAAACTTCTCCCAAATATCATCCCATGGATAGAGATCCTATTCACAGCAATCATGCCCCTAGCTGAACAGCTTCCCCAGTTAAAGTCAATGTCTGCAAAAGTCATACAAATTGTCAGATCCTTACAAACAAAATTTAAACAACGATCTTCCTAAATGTATCACAGCAATCTTTTTAGAAGCATTTGGAAAAGGTCCCTTCCTCTTACATTACAAACAGAAGATTAGTTCAACTGGGCAAAATACTCTGCTCTTCTTTTTTCTCGTTATTTTGTGTTTCTTGTCAGTTATGTTGTTTTCTTTTTTTATTTTATTTTTTCTGTTTGGGCAGGAGGACTGTAAGCATATGCGTGGCTAGCTGCCCAAGATGGTAAGACAACATTGGAGAGAGAACCATGCATTTTGGTACAAAATCATACAGAATAAAGACTTTCAGCATTTATGTAAAGAAGTTTCATGCAGGAAAAGAAAATCAGAGTGGACAGTAGGAAGTAGAACCGACAAAGCTGATATACCAGCGAAAATGTAAATGGAGTGGAAAAAGAATTTGTGACAGGGGAAGAGTTTCTAACTGAGAATCTATTACTACAAATGGGAAAGGCTTCAGGCTATTACTCAGGATCAAGCATCTAGAATCAAATGGGTAGATTTTTAGTTGTGTAAAAGAGATGAGATGGTCTATTGTTGCAAAGAGAGATGAATTATGAGAAGTCCAAATATTTCCAACCATTACTTTCAGTTTGAAAACCAAAATCGAAACAAGCTTCCAGCAACTCTTGACTAAGAAAATGAAAGGCCAACATAGAACATGTTTTCTTTTCTATTTTTTAAAATTTTCAACAGAATTGAAGATTCAGACACTAACAAGGACAATCTCCAGCTTTCAACAATGATATACTTAGACAACATGATCCATGATGACAAGCAGGCTATGAATCAATCACAGAGAAGTTTAGTTTCTGTGAGAAAACATGAATAACAAGAAAACTGGACGTCATTTGGGACCAGGACAATTTTTTTTAAGCAAAAGATCACAGTGTTGATGATGACCATAAGAAAGTACCAAACAAAAAATGTAAAGAAAGAACTTTTACTTGTAGTTACTGGAGTTAGAAGCCTTCCACCAGCAATTTCCCTTTGGCATATTTCCTACAGCAAGCCATAGTAGAATAAGCATGGTGATAGTATGCCAATGATTGGTCTGTATTATAAGACGTAATGCTTTTTTGAAAGATTTCAATATAATACATGATAAGAGAATTGCAATATATCTTAAATCATACATTCGATCTTAGCCTCAACATGCATACTCTATGTGTTTATCCAATGCCATATGAAAATTAAGATAGTGTGACCAATACAGTCAATTTGCCTAAGATTAATTATAACAGAAGAAAATCCCAAAAGCTGAAAAAATGTGCCACAAAACCATAAGTATGCTTTTCCATGTTGTTGATACTTTGCTATGTAAACATGATTTTAAGTGATTAAGTACCATGAAAGTCAAGCAATCAACTTTTGTGTATCCTAAAACATGTTTTTAATCAAACCTAAGAACAAGCGCAAGGACCACAGATCAGAAAGTTGCAACACGAATATCTTAAGCATTATCTTCTTCACACTCTAAATTAGTTAAGATCAAGGCTTAGACAAGATTAGTGTCATTGACTACTGCTAAATTTAATGATTAATGTAATCATGGAAACTTACAAAAGAGGAACTTGCTTAAAGAATTGCCAGCTATTAACCTTTATCATGCCCAAACCACACAGAGAAACCACTTTCTGTCATCTAAACTTGTTTGTACTATGCTAATACCAGAATTATTCCCTCTTAATTAAAGCTGTTGACCAAGGTTTACAATAAACAATAGAATGAACCTCACATAGTAAAACATATGCAAGAGCCTGCCAATAGCTCAGAGAATCTTTGTCCATGTTCCATCTCAAATTTCCATTGAACCTCGAGAGGAATTAATATATCAGTTTATAAGAACCACCAAAATAGAGCAAATAATATTGAATTTCATTGCCTGGAGACTCAGGAGAACTAGACAGGCTCATATTTATTAAGCCTTGAACCATTATGTCAAAGCATTATTTTCTACACTCAATCTAAAACCTGAAAACATTGACCTCAAGGAATTTGCTGCCATCAGCCATCCTCTCAATGCATATATGTGCAAGAAATCAAATGTAATTTTTTTCTTAAGATAATTTAGAGTGGGAGGGAGTGGAATGCAGAATCCAGAGGGGGAAGGCAATAAGGGCGTTGGAAATCAAACCTTTTGTCCTAACATGGGCAACAAACCCCTAATACTAGGCCATATTCATCCTCCTGAATATTGAGAGGTGTCCTGCATATAATGAAATGCCCCCCCCCCCCCCAAAAAAAAAAAAGCAACCAAAACACACCAGGGGGGAAAAGAAGAAAAAAGAATCCCACTTCACCAACAAACATACTGTAAATAAAATCAATGACCTCAAGGACTTTGCTGCCATCAGCCATCCTCTCAATGCATGTGCGTGCAATAAATCAAATGTAATTTTTTCTTAAGATTATTTAGAGTGGGAGGGAGTGGAATGCAGAATCCAGAGGGGGAAAGGCAATAAGGACGTTGGAAATCAAACCTTTTGTCCTAACATGGGCAACAAACCCCTGATACTAGGCCACATTCATCCTCTTGAATATCATGAGGTGTTCCTTCATTAAACGAAATGGCACTCCAACCAACCCTCACCCTCTCCCTCTCCCTCCCGCCCCCCCACCCCCCCCCCCCCAAAAAAAAAAAAAAAGCAGCCAAAACACACCAGGGGTAAAAAATGAAAAAAGAATCCCACTTCACCAACAGACATACTGTAAATAAAGTGAACGATCAAACAACAGTTGCATTACAGTTCTCTTAGGCCTTTAATCAAACACATGGTGACTGCTCTTGAAACAAGAAATTCTCTTCCAAACATAACGATCCAAAAAAGCTGAATACTGAAAATATACACTAAATTACTTAAAGAAAGTAATCGAAATGAGAACACCACTACTTCAAAGGAGGTTCGGAAAGTTAAAACTTAAAATATATAACAAACCTTCGAGCAGCAGAAAAACTGCAAAAGCAGCAGCCATTAGCAACTAGCAGGAGGCTTTTACCTAAGAATTATTATACCTGAACAAAGGTTCTGGGCTTCCTTAATAACCCATTGAAGCCGAGCGCGAGTGGAACCATTACACATGCCACCATTTCATCGAGCGCCAAAACTGCTGATGGCGGGCAACCACCGCCTTCCGAAGTTGCGAGCCACTTCTAGCTCCTTGGTGATAAAAGGGTCAATTTAAACAATCAACGGTTCCCCAGTTCCATGGTACAAAAATTGCACTACTGTTTATTACCGCATGGTAATTATGAAGAGGCGTAAATAATATTAGGGATAATTTCAGAAACCTCCCCTGAGGCTTTTAACAATTTCACTAACCTCTCCTAAGGTTTGGAAATTTTTTTTTTTTTTTCATTAACCTCCCTTGAGGTCTATGATTTGATAACAAAATCAGTCCATCTCTGAAAAAATATGAGTCAAAAATTACTTCTAGGAGAGAGATGAAAATTTTGTTTCACAAATGTCCCTTATCCATTTGAATCAAAGTGTATTAGCAAAAACAATTATCAGTCAAGATGTATTGCAGTCATGATTGTCTCGAAAAGTTTTATGATCTTCAACTAAAATTATAACTTTTAAATACTAAACCAAGAACAGTAGAGATTGTTTACCTGACTTAGAGGTATGCTTTATGTGATTTTACATAGAAAAGAATATCCAATTTTGCCTTTCTTTAACGTCCTTTTTCAACCGCTTTCACGAAATTCCTTTGATACAAAGGTTATCTCTTTAGTTTTTAAACCAAGAGGAAAAATCCCTAAGAAAAGACTTGTTTTTCTATTTCTTTCCTCCGTGCTTCCTTTGTTTATATATGATTGAAATGTGGTAATCTTGTATATTCCGCATTACTGCTCATGTTATTAACAGATAATTTTGTCAATTAGTTGATTTGTGCCATAATTACTTAATTCTCAGGTTTTATTTTCTAATCTCAAATAATGTATTGGGGTATATAAGTAATTTCACGTTAGGTGATGTCAGAAAATGGACCTCTTATTCTATTAGGAGATGTCAATGTAATTTCTCAAACCTCAGGCGAGAGAGGTGAGTGAAATTGTTGAAAATCTCAAGGGAGATTTCTAAAATTATCCCTAAATATTATCCACTAGTTCAGTTCACCAAATTGACAAAATAACCCTTGACAAATTTGCACTTATAATTGGAAGGAGCCAACGTTCTAGTGCTTAATTGTATTTATTATCGAAACGGCCTATTATTAAAGATTAAAGAAACAGCCATGCTGGATGTGAATTACCAAAGAAAAGGATTTTCTTTGTGTCCATCTTTTTGTTCCTTTTATTACATTTATGTCTCTTTACCTTCTTTCCTAGCACATGACAAATTCTCTCTAATCTCTAATGGGAAGGTAAATTTAGTATACTAATTTATTTATTGGCCCCAAAATGCTAAAATTATCAAAGCTTAAAATATTTTAATGGCGTAATTTTCTTTACATAACTGAAATACAAAAAAATTTACTTGATGCGAAACAGGAATTGCACTTTGTGGATATACCAATCTCTAATTTCATCAAGTTTGAGCGTTTAAGCAAGCAAAATATTACAACTTCATAATCATGAGAATGCAACCTGTGCCTGTGACAAGACCAAAGGTCCGAGAAGACCAACCTGTTGTTATTGTCATTTTCAAAATGACGTGTATTATAGAAGCATACTTCAAATGTTTGCAGAGTAAACCTCAGAGTCGCAGAGAATGGAGAAGAGCTTTATCCAGACAGAAAAAGAACCTTCCTCCATTCCCCGAATAAGTCAAATTCAGTTCCAACAACATAAGGGAGCATGAAATTTCTGAAGCAACAACCAACAGAGAGCCCATGATACTGCAGAAGAATGAAAGAGTTCTTGTGCACTCGGACAACTTGAGGGATTAGAACAAAATTTCTCTCACACAGCAAGAGAAAGAGATATAAGGGTGAACTATTATTGAATGCCACCCCACTTAGGTTCAAAAAAATATGTATAGCAGCTCCTGAAAAATCAAATAGCGATAACGAATAACCTCAAGCAGATCCTATCGACGAGGGTTGAGAACAGAGGTAAAAGGAGCACAGTTTCCCTTCCAGTGGATGATTTCATCGATCAATATTGGCATCAGGTCGGACAGCATCAACTAAAGTTGCATCCAGTTCACTAAACTAACGCAAATGCATTTGCTCACTAATGCTATGCTCCCTTAACAGCATCTGGGAATTATTTCACTCAACCCAGGATACAACATGCTGCAGTTACAAGATTGAGTAACGCTGTTCTGCACCTCAAGAGTCAAGACATGTCAAGAATGTCATTCGAGCTCTCTTTGGATCTGTGTTTTCGTTTCTTACTCCTGCATGCAAGTAAATGATGTGGACATAAACATGTGCCACACATAAATATTTACATATTTACACACACACACACACACACACAGAGATCAAAAACTCCAATCATCTAAGGGTGTAGGGTATTACTTGTCATGTGAACCAGGATCTAGACATGATTTTAGTTTCCTGTCAATGTGCTTCACGTCTTTGGAAGTGGGGGTCTCAAGCTTATTTACCTGCACAGATTTTCAGCAAATTTTTGTGAGGTCGGAGTAGTAAATCACTAAGCCACTTCCAACAATTATAACAGAGATATGGCCATACGTCCACTTCTATCATGAGATTCGAACAACATAAGACAATTTCATACCGAAGAGTCAACAGCATTTAGGAAAACAGCAAGATCTGAATTACTAAGGGTAGGATGCTGACGTGACAAAACGCTTTTCAGATATCTGCAACAAGTCAGTGTCAAATTATCTCAGACAGCAAACCAGTTAGACCTTCATAAAACATTAACTTAGATTTCTCAGGAAGTCAAACCTCTCAAAGTCGAAAATTCCACATGCCTCATTGGACCTGCGTAAGGCTGCCAGCGCCAACTACACCATATCAGAGGAAAAAAATCTGTTATTTCTTTCAATGGCACTCATAAAAAAGACCCTGTCCATTACGATGAAAAACTAACACCACCTTTGATATAGCAGAAAAGCTGAAGTAGGAAACTAGCTTCTCAGCACAAGCAAAAGCATAAGAGAAGTGTCATCTATAGGTCATCCATCTACCCTATGTAATGTGTTCAACTTGGTTGTAGAAGTACTTACTCCCTGACAACTTATTCTTTGCCGAAGTGTAACCCAAACTATCAGTTAATTACTCTGCCACTACTTTATCTTCATTGACCCCAAATATCTCCTGATAACTCTAACCGTGAGATGTACAGGACACCTACGCAATGTGCAGCTTTTTGATAGGAAATGACAATACTTGGACCAGAGGCTAGTAAGGGCAAGACAAAAGGTTATAGACAAACTTTTTCAACTTTGTTAAACTAGAATCAAGAAAATTACCCAAATAGAAATAAAAGTTAGTAGCAGAGAATAAAAAGTGTCATATAAATGGTAATAAACTGTATTTTAGAATCTTTTAGGGTAAGCAGTTATATAATTAGTTGAAAATTTATACAAGGTACAATTCCAGAGTGAACTTGAGAAGTACCTAAAAAAATTAACACACAACTAGGTAATTGATAGCTCTAAAAGAAATTAAACGAATGAGCAATTATAATGTCCTTAAATTCCAAGGACTGCAAAATTCAGGTTTATCCAAATGTAAGAATTAAAAATATAAAATAGAAACTGATACATCCCAAACCTTTCCTCCAGACAGACAGAAAAAAGCACTGTATAAATCAGCAAAGTTACACAAAATAATAATAATAATAATGAAAAAAAAAAAAAAAACCATTCAACAAGAAAACCAATAATGCAAAACTTCCCTTTTTCATGACATGTATTCAATTCATAGAACACGCAGAGCATAAAAAACGTCAAACATTCTATAGGAAGGGATAGAAACTAATGATTCTCATTCGAAGACAGTGGATCTGCCACCAGGGAACATATTCAGATAATAAAAAATGTCATAAATCCGATAGGAAGGGCCAGAAACTAATGATTCTCACTTGAAGACAGTGCATGTCTCCAGCAAATTCTGGGCTTAAATTTGAATAATTCAGTATACGGCAGAAGGAAGACTAAATAGACAAGGGTGCAAGATACAATGACAGAGACACGAAAATGCACCAAGGAGTACTTGGTAAGATGGAGAATACCTGCCCGGGAGGGAACAGAAGGGGTGCATCAGTACGCATAATTTTATCCACTTCTACCTTTGCTGATTCATGCAAACTCTTTAACACAGGAAAAAAAGAAATATTCAGAAGTCAGTAGGATCCTGTGAGCAGTAAAAAGTACAGATGCTAATAATGACAACAAACCAATGGAACCATCACATGTTTCATTTAGCTGATAAGGAGATTCGAGGACGATCAGAGGCTAGCATGGCAGGAAATCATGCAGCATTAATAATATAAAACATTTAATTGAACCAGGCGAACACTTTAGCAACTAAATCATGTCAATTAACATGTACCAAGAAGAGATCACATTATCTAGAAGCCATGACTTCTCAATAAAGTTGGAATAACATTAAAAGGTATTACTTCAGCAATTCATAGTCAAATGAGTTACTGGAATACAAGA